GAATGTGCCGAGTTCTCGCCTAACGGCAGGCTGCACTTGGTCACTGCTTGCAGGAAGATTACGGATCTGTCCTTGGATGCCATCAACGACCCGATTCACAATTGCCGATCTCGCTTCATACTGTTCAACATGTGACTTCACGGTCTCAAACCTCGAAATGATGTCGTCATGATCCCGACGTTGACGTTGAATTCCTCGAGCCAGATCCTGCATCTTCCGATTGATCTCGTCAATAGCCTCATGCCAGTCCTGCGGGGAATCATGTTCTGATGGTCTATCGACCTCCTGAGAACCCCTTCCACTCTGCAGTCTCGACACTCGATCAACAAGACGAGTGTGCTCTTCTTTGATCCCTTCAATAGATTCAGAGGCCCACTTGGCAAATGTCTCGTGATCAAGGAGAGCTTTCTCGATCTTCAGGTTTAACTCCCTGAAATTTGCATCCACTACACTGCCGCTGGCCCTATCGGACGGATGCGCGACAGGATTCGGGTTCCATACACCTGCCGGTGTCCGCATCCCAACGGTTTTCTCTACCGAGAACATCCGTTTCTCAAGCTTGTCCAAATCCTTAAGGATCTCGTCCTCAGAAGCAGCATGGCTTCTGCGGGCAGCCTCACTATTCTCCTGAATCATCAGGCGAAGCCGATCAGTCGATGCCTCATTGTCCCTGACAGATTCATGGACCTCGTGGGACAGTAGGTTAATCCTCTGCTCCACGACCTCGGCTTGCTCATCGATGGCTTGCCTCACAATGGCCTTGCTATCGGGAATAACTTCCCTTGCGAACCGTTGAACTATCATTCGCATCCTCCCGGCATCAGATTGAGTCGCAACCTCAGCTGCCAGTCGATCGACCTTGTCCTTCGTCTGTTGATTCTCGTCGCTCCATTCCCTTCGCATGGAACTCACTTGACCGTTCAGTAACCTGATCTGGTCAGCAAAAATATGGAAAGCTTTCGCGACTGAGCCAGAAACCTCACCTCTCTCGAGCATCTCCTGGATGTGCAAATCGAACACCTCCTTTGCCCTAGCGTCACCTGATTCACCGGAAGAATGAGACCTGAGTGCTGGAGGAGTCGATATCTCGATCCTCTCAGGAGCCCCACTAGCTCTAGCATATCTTCTGGGGTCATCCACAGGACTATCACCAACCCCAGATGGCCTGCTAGGGGTAGAACCCCTTCTACGGCTATCGCCGGAACGGGGATCAACATGGGACGCACGAGACTCGGGAGTAGAGTGGATGTGAACATCAGCAGGATCAGGCATCTCCTCATCCTGCGGAGTTGAGTCCATTGGTGAGGGGCTAGCCCTCCTCGCCTTCGACCTATCGGTCTCAATGGCCAGGGGTGACGGTCTCTTCGCAGAAGCACTACGTTCCCTGGCGGTCGAGCCCCATTGAGGTGTGAACTCGTTGCTGGACCTTAGCGTTTCAAGGTCACTGGTATCTCGCCCTAACGGGCTAGCGATCGACGGACGATCCTCGATTCCGAGTGCATCGGCAAGCCGGCCATCTCTTGCACCTCTCCCAACGACATCGGCAACCCGCTCAGTGACTCTCGGCGAACCAGTAACCCGGTTCGAGTTCACGTCCCTCTGATTCAACGGACCTCCAAACGTAATGTTGGGAAAAGGGGGAACATTCGGGGTATCACCAATCGCCGGGGGACCTACCGGTCCCTCACGGTCATGGATGGCCTCCAATCCCCGAAGAACTTCCCGACTGTCCCTGGCTCTCTCTCTCTCGCTTCGGGCATCCCTGTCAACGCGAAGGTCCCTGGCGGCTCCACGAGAGAGGCTCCTGGGCCTCGCAGCATCACGGATTCTAGCATTTCGTCGTGGTTGGTCCTCCTCCTCATCACGGCGATCCGCAAATGCGGCATACTCGTCATCATCATCGACCTCAAACTTGGCAGCGGCGGGACTAGTCCTTGCAGTCGCACGGCTGCCTGCATTTCGGCGCGAATGGCTCTCCTCCTCATCCGCAAAATTGTAACCTTCGCCATCATAAGACTCAGATTTGGCAGTATTAGGGTTGGGCCTACCGGCATCAGATCCCTGCTTTGAGCTACTGCCCCAACCTGCGGTTGATTTCAACAGATCATCGTATCCGAAGTCTGAGAACTTCCGCTCCTCGTGCTCATCAAACTGACCTGGATTCTGAGAACCAGTGGATCGGCCCGGGATACCTCCCGGAACCAGAACCATAGTCCCTGGTCCCTGCGGCCTACTCTCAAACTCATCCGAGACCTGCGACTCACCTGGAACAAGAGATCTCGGAGGTCGAATCGGCATGGCCTCCGGGTCATCCGAATGAGGGCGGGCCATGTCCATCGCCATGCTGATGAAGTCAAAACGTCCACGCCTGTGACCTGATTCAGAGCCACTCCTATCGGAGTAAACCCTTCGCGTCTGCTCGTCATCAGTGGCCTGGCGGAAAATACGATCGTCTCCATCGTCGGCGTACCTGCCACGGCTCCTGGGTGTATCCCTACCGGGATCTTCACCCCTGCGGTCCTGACCTGTCGAACCTGCTTCGAAATCCTCGTAGTCATAGTCCGGTAGGTCCTCACCTGAGCGGAGGCCACCTAGGATGGCCTCCTCATCCACGACGCTCCTTCGAGATCGTGGGGTCGACATAGAGCTTGTAGTTGATGGTCTCAAGCGCGTAGGAAAGTCCTACGGCTGATAACCTGTGATTCGGGCACGAGCCTGTGCCCAGGCAATGGGTAAGTTGGGGTAAACAAGCCACAAAAGAAAGGTTCCCCAAAAGCAAACCAATCCCCGGTCCCAAAGATCAGGGTTTCCCACACACCAGAGAACAACAACCAAAGGAAAACAAACCAAACAAGAAAAGGGTTAACCCGCAACCTTGGTCGACAACAGGCCGCACGACTGGTCCCTACCAACCTGGCGGCGGCCCGAGGTCTCTTTCTCCCCCGAGATGCCGGTCGACGCAGGGGTTCGGCGACGCCCATTCGAGGCGCGACGGAACCCAAAACTTGAGCCAAAACACCACAGGTCGGTCACTAACGCGACGTCCCTGATGATGATATGAACCATGGCTAATCACAAGATGTAAATGCCTTGCGCTCCAACGAACCAAGCAATGTTGGAAAGAGCCCGTTGTGACTGCCATGGACGCCACCGAAGACAGCACGCGAGCATGTGCTTGCTTTCCCGGGCTCTGGTGGATTCCCGTGCAAAGCAAGTACATCAACCTCCAACCATGAAACCCTGCGTTACACCCAACCCCAGTTTCATGCGTGGTTTTGAGGCATGGAGATGCCCATGCACCACCACTCTAACTTTGCAATTAAGGCAGCACACCACCTTCATATAAGCAATATGCAAGCTCCATACCTCCAAAGCACGTTTCCAGAATTGGACACATCCAACCACAAACCTTAGGAGACTATGCCCATGGGTTCCAACTCGTTCTCCCAAGCTGCAGGGGTTCAGCCAAAAAGCCTAAAAATGGGAAGTGCATTTCCCAAGCCAGGCACCGTTCATGAGCTACGAATAAACTCGCTGGAACACAGGGTATGTGAGTATGTCTCAAAATGGGGGGGGGAGGGGGACCACGATGATTGCTTTTCTGTTGGCTTAAGCAGCAACACACCCAGGCAGATCATGACCGAAGTCGCTCGCCTTACGGAAGACTCGCTGCTGCGGACGAATTTCTGGAGGATGGCGCAAATGGTCTCCTGCACATAGAAAGACGGGAGCCCAGGATTGACAAATTACTGGATGAGAAATAGGGGCCCCTGTCAAGCAGAAGTCCTAGGGAACACCCCCATCAATCTGCAAAGTGTGCCCATCCGGAGTAAATATCAAGGTGAACAGTGAGGATAATGAATCCCCCCAGAGCTGTACTCAAGTTGCATGGATGCCGTGGGTCCTATCCCCTCACAAGGAAAGGCTCCAACAAACACGAGAGAGAGAGACACTTCCTTCACCAAGACTGGAACATCGCAACTGACAAAAATGCCCTTGCAGAAGGGCGTTGGTCTTACAAACTTCGACTCCTCACATTAAAATCTCACTCACCAGTCGCGAAACTGGTTCGCAACCACCTCCATTCATCCAACGCCTGCAGCCCGCTGCCCTCAACACTGAAATAGACCGATGAGGAAACTGTGCTTGTGATGGTCCCTGTCTCCGTGCACATCGTCCAAGTTGTTTAGCAACCCTGCTTGGAAAAAAAAGGGGACAAAAACCACCATCATAACTTAGTGGGGGTTGGATAAACACAAGTGGGTTGACCATCCTTAGTAGGGAAACGCCACCAAACAAAAAGAGAACCAGGCTGCCGCCGAACCGGGGCTCACCCTCCCCTCCCCTCCCCCTTCTTCCCTGTCCTGTGGCAGCTTCCCCAGACAACCTGCCTGGCTGCAAAGCTGGCCAAGCAGCTCCTAAGTGACAGCGTTTGATCAAGGGGGGCTCTATGGGAGGGAGGAAACCAAAGAAGCCGGCGGTTCGCTTTGTACTGTGGATGGTTGCGAAATCCACAAACCGCACCAAACCATAGAAACCATGGTTGAAACCATGGTTGGTTGGTATTTACAGGGGGAATCATCATTCCAGAGTTTCTTTGGAGGTATTCTACCCTTTGAGACTCTCTTTGGGAGAACCAAGATCTGCCCGGTTCCTCGTTTTGGAAAAGCGTCAACCAAAAACCGCTTGCCCCTTGTCAAAGACAGCAGGGCTGAGGCGGGCAGGCCATGGCCGTTGTCAAAACTGATGTGGGCCGTGGATCACGGGTCTAGATCGCGGAGGACTCCACGACTGTCCCAACAAATCTGTGCTCTCCAACCCGTTTTCACATGGAACCAGACGTAAGGGACGTCCCTTTAAAAGGAAACATGGTCCAAACCACAACCCCCGGAACGTCAGGTTCCATGTAAAAACGGTGGGAGGGTACCAACTCCACACCCCTCCACCCCCAGCCATCCACTCAAAACTCGAGCTTACCCCCAGAACTCTGGGCCCCGGGCCGTGGTGGCGCACAAGGCCTCGGGCTCATCGAGCACCAAGTGCAGCAAGGCCAAAAGCCCCTGGAGGCACAGCTCCGGGTGGTCCGCCGCCACCTCGCATTCTCGTCTCGCCCGGCGAAACAACCAACAAAAGGCACCGAGCTTGTCACGAGCTGGGAAAAGTGAGGAAATATCAGAAAAAGAAAAAAAAGGAAAATCACCCGGGAGCTGCCGAACCCCAAGGAGGAAAAGGAAAAAGGCCGAGATGGCAATCGGCTGAAAGTGGGAAATCTGCTCTTTGGGCCTCTAGAAAACAATGCAAAGTAAACTAACTCAACAGACTCAACGGGTATCACTGCCTGAACCCAATCGCTGGAATTCCCGTGGTGTCGTCGTTTTCCGCAGCTTGGGACGCGAGAACGGCGCGTCGGATGGGTGAAGGGAAAGAGAGGCCTGTGGGTTTGCATTGCTCGGGGTTACCGGGTGCTGGGGAAATATCCAATTCTAGTTGCTACGTCCAGATGGGGCATGTTTCAAGGGATCCCAGACAAAATTCAACAGCAAGTCGCGCAGGGCTACAAAACCGGTCAATGTACTGAGACCATGAGGTTGTTTTTTTGTGTTTTTTGTTTTTTAGTGGTGTGTGCTTGCCGATTGTCCGTGATAATTGAACTTTTACTTCTATGAAAGGGATGGGGGCGCTTTGCTCTATAGTAGATTAAGGGACACACCGAGAGTTGATGACTTTGATACCCCGGGTGAGTAGTCAACATAATGAAGCAAACAAAAACAAAACAAACAAAAAATAGGCTCTGTCGGTTTTCAGTCTCGCACTAGAAGGAAACCACTCATCTTGCGAGGTGTCCACAATAAACACTGCCCACCGAAAAAAAAAGAAACGTTTAACCAAGAGAGCCGAAAGAGAACTGGGCCAGAAGGTTCGGGAACCGCAAAGCGATTGACCAAAATGAGCGTCAAACAACAATGGGTAACCATAAACATAGGTACCCCCCCCGCCCCCCAACAAAAAAGAGTCCAAATCAAAAAAAAGGAAACAAATCAGGGATGCCAAAAGGACCTCTCGTTTTGCGGCAAACCCTTTACAACAAGACGGTTCCTCAAGCAAACGCACAAGGCGAGTCTTGCGCATGGTATGAGCCTCTAGGAACCAAAACTCCCGCCTTGGCCAAGAAAAAGTCCAAACTTTTTGCACCGGTTTCTGGTCCAACAAAAAAGTGGCTACAGTCCAAACCGGAACGCAGGGAGTAAGTACATGAACAAGCACGAGAAATCTGAGCAAAACGTCGGCGCCTGCATTCCCAGCTCCGTGTCCATGGCCGTCTGCAGCACTTTGGCCGCGCTCCGCCGCAGCGCGCCGCCGGCGGCGCCGGCGCTTTCGAGGGCTGCCCCCAAGTAGGAGGCTGCGGGCTCCGCTTGCGGCCAGGGGAGACGAAGCAGCGGCATGAAGACGTGGAGCCCTGGCTGAGAGCTTTTCTTGCTGGTACAAAAAGTACAACAAATAGTCATTAAAACACAATAAATGTCTTGGAAAAAAATCGGAACCAAATATATAAAAGAATAATTGATAATTCAGAAAATAAGAAAGTGAGCTAACATCTATTGCAAAGTAATATGGATGAAAAGGGCTTGCCTTGACTGAGAATTGGAATGACCCCGAAGTAAACCAGCCCCGATTTAGTTTCCTTTCAGGGAATCCCCAGGTTCATTGCCGAACCCCTGAGTCATTCCGTACTGAGCACCAGCAATTGTTCGCATGTTTCAAGAGGTTTGCAAAGAGCTTAGGAATTTGGTCACTGGGAGACTACTGGGAGAATAGAGGAAACCAATCCGGATTTCTAGTCAAGGGCGATCCCCGGGAAGAATACAATTGATCACCTGTGGAACCCGTGAAAACCTCAGTTGCGCCAAAGAACCTGTACAAAAGGCCCCAATCCCCGCTGCGTTAGCAAAAACAAAACAGGAACGAAAAGAGCCACGAATCTTAAAGACATTCCTTGGACAGTAAACGCCATAACTCGCAAAAAATGGAACCAGCTCCCATCCTGGAAGGCAACTTTCCTTTCAAGGACCCTGTGCAGGTTCTACATCTGTTGTTGTTTTCTTGGGGAACAAACAACTAAAAAACGCACACCATGCCGCTTGGGCAGAAAGGACGTATGACGAAAGAGCGGCCGCTTGGAACCTCGACCGTAACACAACCTCTGCTTTTTGTTCTATGGAAAGAGTGGCCGTACATACGTATTCAGCCCGTGCAACCCCATTTGGACGACACAAAGGCCTACGATCTTGTTTGTTTTATGGAAAGAGAATGTACATACTATGTTTGGGCCCGTTCTCAACCCACACAAAGGCCGATCTTGGGCAGGGAGCCTAAGAGGAAAGTCGAAGTGGACTGGAAATGATGAGTGCCACACACGGCCTGCCCTTTGTGTCATCCAAATGGGGTTGCGCAACGGGCTGAATAAGTATGTACATTCTCTTTCCATAGAACAAACAGCAGATGTTGTTTTAAGGTCGAAGATTGCCCATCCTCTTTTGGTCTCCTTTAGGGAAAAATCAACATTCAGCTGCATGCGAAACGAGAGACTTGGGAAGCGGTTGGCTGAGTCACTCAGTCCATTGGGATTTGAAACCGTTGAAACCCAACTAGGGGCGCAAAACCCAACTGCCTTTGGGCGGAATCCAACATCCCAACTGCCAAGGTACCTCAAGAAGTCGGCCGAATCCCAAGCATGCCGGCCCCTCAAGCCTTGAGCTCCCAGAGTCTGCGCCTAACAGACCAAAACCCCCCCTCCCCCGCCAAAAAAAAAACAGCCATAGGGGCTTCGCTTTGCCCGCCTGCCAAGCGTTTGGCCAGCTTCTCGTTGTCCGGGTATCTCTCCACCAGCAGCTCCAGCAGCCGCAGCGCCTTCCGTCTCAACGGATCTGAGTGACTCGGCCGGTTGGGGTTGGACGCACCAGTAGATGGCTTCGGTGTTCCTCTTGGGTATGCGGTAAACCGCTTAAGAACCAGCCGTAAGAGGGGTTCCGCGAACCAAAGACAGACCCTGGACCCAACATAGCGCCGGTGGTCCTGCTCTCCTGGGTAAACCGCTGAAGAAAACCAACCAAAAGAGGGTTGACCCATATCTCAAGATTGGATATGTCACCCCAAAGATGCGAGGTGTCCTTTTGGCCGCCCAAAGAATGACATCACATTTCGGGGTGCGCACATTGCACACTGCGAAAGGCGACGATGCGGGTTGGCCTTGCTTGGTGGGAAACCTGCCCATCAACAAATGACTTAACTGGGCAAAATTGCTCTGTGGGAAATGTAGAAGTTGACAAAAAAGGCCCCTCATTCTGAGAAACCTAGGATCTAAGTGAAATATGACAATTCACCAGGGTCGCGACTTGGCTTGCCCAGTTTGATCCCCCTCTCAACTGAGTATCTTGCTTTCAGTGCATCATTTACTAGCTTGTTGGGGGAATCCAAGCCCTGGGGTTCCTGTGGCTGTGTTTTACGTGGTCGATTAGTTCGCCGCTGTATATCGTGGTCGAGGGGGATTGATCGTTTTTTTCCGCCAGGTGCCGCATGTCTGGCTCTTTGTCTATGTCCCTGCAGGGTCTTGAAGCTATAAAGTGGTCCTGCAACCGTTGGAACATCATAATTGGATCAAAATCAAAACAGTTATGGAATTCGAAAATAATTATAACAAGGCAGATGCAACCTGCGCCCATGGCAGTGCCGCATCCCTATATCATGGCAGCGCTGCATGAATCGTGCTCGGTGGAAGCGGAAATGCCAGAACCTTAATGGCCAACGGTGTTCAAAGCCTTTTTCCCCGATGAGTACGCATATTGTCAGGTCATCTGCTGGACGAGCTTGAGGAGGTCGATGGCTCTGGCCTTGGAATCGCATTGCAATTGAGGCTGCGCACATCTTCCATCAATGTCCACCTTGCACATGCACTCAATTTTATTGAATTGCAGTATCTAAATCTAGATCTTCAGCGTGCTTCCCCGCGGCCGTTCTCCGGCACAGCTAGTGGCAAACAATGGCGGAAAACCCAGAGGAAGAGATGTTGTTCAAGTGGGCTGAGCGACAGTGTCGCCTGACAAAATGCAAGATGATATATGTGAGCCTGGCTTGTTTTGCACGTTAACCCCACTAAGTCTGCCGGGTGCCCCGGCATGGCCAGGACTGGATGGTGTCATGCGGCTTCCTGGAGGCCGAGAAGTTGCTGGAGCTTCGGGCCAAGCAGCTGTCGGCAAAAAAGTCCAAGAAGGCGGGCTTCGCCAGTCTATTATTGTTTCGGGGGATTGGAATCCATTCAATCCCAGGAGATTCCCCAGTTTGCTCTCCTCACAGAGATCGCCGATCTGAAGACTGAGAGCCAGGTACGTTATTGGTTAACTGTGATGTCAAATTTTAAACCCTTCTTGGCAGTAATTTTGGAAGAATGTAATTCCATTCGACGTGCTGCTTCTCAACCAACATTGCAATTGTATTATTTCTCACTTTATAGCTTTATGACGGTACTGCGTCGTGCAATTCTGCAATCGATTGGTCTACATGCATGTTTTATGCTTGGTCAGGTGCATGCCAACTATGCAGCACTCAAGCGATGGTTTGAGCAATTCGGCCGAGCGACCCCGACTGGAAAGGAGATCGAGGCACGTGTTTGAAGTTTATTTTCTCCATGCTGGAGGTGCAAAAGCCTGATTCAGTACTATACTATCTAGTACTAGCTAGGGTTGTTTGCCCGCGGCCAGGCAGCGATTCTGGAGGCCAATGACCGCTTTGACTTCCTGCAAGGCTCCTTGAACAAAGACCGGAAGGCACCTTTTTTGTTTTCAGCCACACTGTTGCCCCGCACGGCCAACATATTTTGGTCATGACAGGCCCAGGCCTATGAGATTGCGCTTTCCTATCGAGCCCTAGTATCGGACTTCTTGATAGCAGAACGTCGTAGCCAACGGACAAGGCCTAGCCACTTGTGTTGTCACCTGCGCAGTGTCTCAATTAATATGTTGCAACACAGTGATCTACTTCAGGCCTGGGCGACACTTCAAGGAAGTCAGTGAGCTCAAAGGCATCATTCGGCGTGTGAGTGGTCCATACGTTCCCCGAAGCAGAGCCTGAACCTCAGCCTTCCCACACGACTCGGCGCCAAAGGAGACGCATGTGCGCCTGGCAGGACAGCTTTTCAAGCCGAAGCGAATCCGGTTCAATGAAAGAAAAGGATTTGGCTGGCCATGAGGCCAGTTGAGCTCACAAGGTTTGCCTTTCACCAGATCAACTCACCAGACTAGATGATCCGCATGTCCATTACTTAGTGTTCCCAGATCTCTTGACACGTGTCTTCTGGATTCTAGATTTTGTGGCCTTCCCTGAGAAGGCGCTTGAAAAACCACGTGCCCAAAGATCAGGTCTCTCTGATCAGTTAAATCGGGCACAATGCTTTCGCAGGGCCATCGTGCCCGCTGAATAATCAGAGTTGGTTTGTTTCTTTGAAAGGCATTTATGGAACGCTGGGGATGGGGGTTGGACCCTTGAATTCTTACAAACTGTATATGTTTGAACTCATGATTGCGCAGCTGCATGCCTGTACACATAGAGACATGCTCACACAAGTGCGTCGCTGTGCAAACGCAACTGCTACACGCGCATCGTAGCACGATGAAAGTGCAAAGCCTTGAAGGCACACGGAGACACAGCTGGGGAAGGAGAGAAAGAGGAAGAAGAGGAGGAAGAGGAAAACCTAGAACTTGAGGACTTTCAAGATGACAATGACCCAGAAGTCCAGGCAGCTTCACAGGAGGTAGCTCAGCACACCAAAAGGACAGCGCTGCAGCAGCAGCAGCAACAGAAGAAGCAGCAGCAGCGCAAGCCAATGGCAGCAGCATCAAAGGCACAAGATCAGGCGGCAGCCAGGCTAGAGGAAGAAGAGGAGGAGGAAGACGAGCACGCAACAGAAACACCAGCAACACATCAGCCCCACCAGCAGTCGGAACGAGAGGAAGGGGAAGAGGAAGAAAAAGAGGAATTGCAGACAGAGGACGAGCAGGCAGCAGCATCAGCAACACCACAGGACCCAGAAGACATGGAGGCACCAGGAGAAGAGGAAGAAGGGGAAGATGAGGGAGATGAGGAAGATAAGGAGCAGGTGGCAGCAGCATCAGAAGCACAACGAGAAGACAAGGAGCAACCCCGGTCGGAGGAAGAAGAGGAAGAACAGGAAGAGGAGGAAGAAGAGCAGGAGGCAGCAGCATCAGAATCGCAACAAGATCTGAAAGACGAAGACGAACCAGCAGATGAGGAAGAAGATGAGGAAGAGAAAGAAGAGGAGCAGGCGGCAGCATCAGCAACACAACAGGAAGAAAAGGATGAACCAGGAGATGAGGAAGAAGAGGAGCAAAGTAAAGAAGAGGAGCAGGCGGCAGCGGCAGCAACCCATCAGGAAGACAAGGATGAACCAGGAGATGAGGAAGAAGAGGAGCAAAGTGAAGAAGAGGAGCAGGTGGCAGCATCAGCAACACAACAGGAAGACAAGGGTGAACAAGGAGATGAGGAAGAAGAGGAGCAAAGTAAAGAAGAGGAGCAGGCGGCAGCGCAGCAACCCATCAGGAAGACAAGGATGAACCAGGAGATGAGGAAGAAGAGGAGCAAAGTGAAGAAGAGGAGCAGGTGGCAGCATCAGCAACACAACAGGAAGACAAGGGTGAACCAGGAGATGAGGAAGAAGAGGAGCAAAGTGAAGAAGAGGAGCAGGCGGCAGCACCAGCAACACAAAAGGAAGACAAGGATGAACCAGGAGATGAGGAAGAAGAGGAGCAAAGTGAAGAAGAGGAGCAGGCGGCGGCAGCATCAAAGACACAACTAGAAGACCAGGAGGAACCACCAGCAACACAAAAGGAAGACAAGGATGAACCAGGAGATGAGGAAGAAGAAGAAGGAGATGAGCAGGCAGCAGCTTCAGCAACACAGCAGGAAGACCAGGAGCAAGCTGAAGAAGAGGAATACGATGGAGAAGAGGATGGAGAAGAGGAGCAGGCGGCACCGCCAGTCAGGCGACAGGGCGACAGCAATGAGGACCTGATTGAAGAGGAAGAAGAGGAACAGGCAGCAGCGACAGCAACGCAGCAGGAGGGCAAGGCAGGAGAAGAACAGGAGGAGAAGCAGGCAGCAGCACCAGCAACGCAATGCAGTGCGCAGGCTTACCAGGCAGCAATTGCAGCAACAGGCGCAAAACTGCCAGCTTCACCAACAGCCACAGCAACGAGCGCTGCCCTGAAAGCATCTGCAGTTGCTATTAGTGATGTTGCAGAAACAACAGCTTTGAGGCATGGCCACAACCCTTTGCCAGATTTGAAGGTTGGCCCTGATCAACAGCTGTCTGAGCTTGCGTTACGAGCGTCAGCAGCAGCGGCAGCAGCAAAGCGCAAACAACAGTGGACGTTCAAGACACACCAGGATACCTGCAGTAGCTAAGTGGTAAATTTATCATCAGTTGTTGCGAAGGACATGGCGCCCTGATATCGTAACAAAATCGACACTATGTTTGGTGGCCATGGTCGAGAGGTTTATATGCAACTCACGTGAGCAATAACCGACATCGAATTCCCAAATCCCAATCATTATCCAAACGCACGCACATCACGATGTCTTTTCCAGGAGGCTGCAACCAGGGACTGCCACATCAAGCTGAAAAAGCAGCCAATACTGGATCCTTCTCAAATGGATACTTTGCCCTTTGAGTTGCAAGACCCAATTGAAGACTGCAACGAAGAAGAGGGTGCCGATGCGAGTGCGGATGAGATAGCAACAAAGGAGGGCAAGAAAATCATAAAGGGCACTTTCAAGGACTGTGGCGCATTGCACCGTGTCAGCTTGATGTTGCGCGCGCATTAATGTCATGACCCAAACTATGAAATTGCACTGCTTCACACTGACAGTGTCAGTCATGAGCTACTTGCAGGACTCTGCGCCGCTTTTGAACACCACAGCTGAAGCCCTGCCCGAAGCCAAAGAATATTTGGATAAAATCGTGGCCAACATGATGACTGAGCCTAAAGATACGCCTGAATCCATTCTGAAGGCCTGTGTTGTCCTGTCGTTGCCTAGTCTTTGCCATGTTTCTCATGGCCAGCAACTTGCCTTCCACACGAGGCTCAGTGCAAAGTGCGGGCGGCCTTGAAGGCGAACGAAGAAGATCGCGAAGATGAAGACGA